TTTCCTTATAAAATGTCACTGACTTTACATTGCTGGAATTGTTTCAAGATAATGAATAATTTGAGTATATACAACCTATAGTTTGCACTAGATAAAAAAAAAATCCAATCAATGGATATCGTTAAAGCAATTTTTTTTATAATATATAGCGAGATGGTCTTAATTCATAACCATTATTAATGCGGAATATCGCTGAACGAGACATCGTTTATCCCAGGGAGGGGTAAAGTTCTTCATCAGAAGAAATTAAGTATGAGAGTCCTATGTAAGAAGGCAGCAGAGTGGGGCTTTAAAGTGACCATGATGCTAAAGCCTTGCTACGAAGACACAGAGTAGAAGCAATTAGCATTATTATTAAACCGACGATTAGAATTCTGTCACATTATAAACTGGGCTTAAGGTTGAGAAGATTCGACAAAAGTCTGCACACCCCCCTCCACCCCAACAGTGACAGGCCATGAGGCGTAAGGAATCAGGGGCTAAAACCCCAGCATTGCCAGGAAGTCTGTTGACATGTATTTTCTGCAGAGCGACGTTGGATGTACATTGTGCGGGTCTGGGGTATGCAGAGTTCAGGACGATACACAATGCGGTAAATCATGAAGGCTGTTGCTAATATTGCTCTGACTGCAAATTCAAAGTAAATGAGGAGATTGCAAACCATAGGGGAATGAGATTCCGAGGGACGAAAATAGACGAAGCTGGATCCTTGCTGGTTGCCAAGCTAGAGCAAGTTGGGAAAGAGATCCTCGCTATGACTTCAGAAGTAGCTGATAGAATGGAGGGAGTAGTGAAGAAGAGTTATGCTCAAGCCTTAGCAGGGCCACAGAAGGTGACCCTCTAGAAATTTCCCTGGGGCAGCAGTGGTGGGAAAATAGCAGCGCGGAGCGAGGGAGATAAGGGGACAGTGTTGTTTTGACGGTCACGTACGCATTTCGCGGCCATTTTCTGCTTGCCTTTGTGTCCGGGATGGCCAGTAATGCATATATTTACTGATCATAATACTTTTTTCCTATAAATAATTAATTTTATTTGCATTATTTTACATAAAAAGTGCTCGGCAACACACATGCAGTCTGTTGCCAGGCTCTTTGTGTTTGGTAGAGCAGGTAATGCATATAAATAATTATCGGAATAATAATTCCACACACAAATTCATTTATAACATAATCATACCATTATTTTTCAGCAATACTACACTACAATACAACTACATTACTTTTAGCAATACTACATTAATACAACATGATAAAATGGACAATGAAAATGAAAAAAAAAGTACTTACATTCCAGAAGCTTCTCTGTGGCCGATCGTGTAGTGTGACACACAAATAGTCACACTAGAACCTGTGAACCCGTGCTGGGCATTCAAACAATGCCACAAAAAGGCGCACGTTCCGGAACGTCAACCGGGGCATAGGGGTTAAGAGAGAGGAGGAAAAATGGGAACGTTTTGAGAGCAGGAACAATGTAATAGTTTTTGGGAGTCCCTGAGAGCCAGTTTGAAGAAGCTAAGAGTCGGAAAACACACGATAAGTTCCAGTTTGAGAATATTGTATTTGTACAGAGACTGAATATATCAGCCCCCTCCCCTTCAGGATTAGAGCAGGCTAGGACAAAAGCAGGAGGACAAGCCCCACCCCCTCAGGATCAAACTACTATAGTGAGTGAGGATAAGAAATGAGAAGTTATTCAGCATGCTAAGAACTTAGCGAGGAGCGATACATTTTGGGGTATATTCATAAACCCAGATCGCACGGTAATGCAGAGGGAACAGCACAAAAAGCTCCTACAAGGCTTGAAGCAGAAGAGGGAAGAGTCAAGGAGGAACAGAGATGGGTGTACATGGGTAACATCCAGGGGGAGGGTAGTGGAACCAAGAGCGCCAGCACAGAGTTGGGGGACAGTGGGACAGCCCCCACCTGCTCCACCTCCCACCCAGGAGGAGGCGAGCGCCATGTAAACAATGACATTTCTGACCACACCCCACAAAATACAATGTATTTAGCAAATGCTGTAGCTGCTGAGAATGGAGGGAGACCGGAGTCACTACCAAGAGCAGAGACATTACTGAGCACAAATTCTGGCTTGAAAGTTATGTACACTAATACTGACATGTAACTTGATAAGAGAGAGGAGTTTGAAACACTACCTTAGGTACATCAACCTGATATAGTAGGTGTTGTAGAACTGTTGTACAAGAACAGGAGAATCGGCCCAGAGGAACGCAAGTTCAGTATTGATGGATATGACTCGTTTACAAATCTTTCTCAAGCAATTTGCATGAGGGGTGTGGTTGTCAATGTTAGGCAAGACCTTAGAGCCAGCCAGGAGAGGGTACAGGGGGAGGATGTTTTTAAAAGAATCATAGTGGTGTAAAATTAAATTAAAGGAGAGAGACTTACTTACTGTATTGTCGGCTGTATCTACACATCCCCAAACTGTAGCTTGTTAAACCAAAGGAACTTAAGAGCCTTAATGAACAACGCAAAGGTGCTCAACCCTAGCCACCTCTTTGCCATGGGGGACTTTAACTATGGCGACATCGACTGGAGAAATAAGACCACGCCACGTGACTTAAATAACCCCACTACTATTTTTGTAGAAACTATAAGGCAATTTTATGTTCCAACATGTTAAAGACCAGATGCATTACAGAGGGGAGCAAACACCCAAACCGTTGGACCTCATCAAAGCTAACGAGGAGGGTATGGTGGCCAAGCTGGAACACCTAGCCAGGTCAAGGTTCAAATATTATAGTGGAAATTATGATGGGATGAGGGAGGAGACGAGATGAGGGGTATCCACTGGCCGGACTCACTAAGGTATAAGAACGCAGACACTACACTGAATATCATAGCCAGTAAAGTGAAACATTTGATCAAGAAATATATACCGAAGACCAAACCCAGTGCTTCCAGGAATATAAGGAGACCACTACACATGAACCATGCAGTGGTCAACAAAGTAAAGAAGAAAACCCAGAAATTCAAGGCAAAGGATAGGACAAACAATGAGCAGGACAAGAAGATGTATGCAAGATCCAGGAACCTAGCAAAGTCAGAGTGTAGAAGGGCTGAAAACAGTTCCAGAGGCTGATTGCAAGCGAGGTCAAGTCTAACCCAAAGGCGGTATACCACTACGTAAAGTCAAAATTAAAATTGCGAGTAGGTGTATCGGAAATGAGGCTTGAAGATGGTGGTAGTACAGATTTTGACCAGGACCAGGACAAGGTGAAGGCGTTAAACAGATTATTTTCCTCGGTGTTCACAAGAGAGGATGTGAACAATCTTCCTGCATTTGAGGACAGACGGTTTGACACAGTGCTGATTCACATTGTGTTCTCAGAAGATGGTATAAGAAATAAATTGTTAAAGCTAAAGATTCATAAGAGTCCCAGCCCTGACATGGTGCATCCCAAAGTGCTAAGAGAGTTGTGCAACGAGCTTGCTGAGTACCTGAAGATCCTGTTCTGTAAATGCCTGGATGAGCAAAAGGTCCCAAGTGATTGGAAAGTGGCTTATGTGAGCACTATTTTCAAGAAGGGCGATCATCACTCCACGAATAAATATAGACACTACGTATATACATGTAAAAAAATTACTGTCTCTAGAACAAATGTCTCCCTGTCTTGGCCGAGAAAATGCCAGCAACTTTAAAAACTACCCTTAGACATTCTTGGGTACATCCTGGGGTGTCATTGGCGAATAATCGAAGTCTGTGAATTAAAAATCCATGAATTTTAAGGGCAGGCTGTAATAATAATACGTAATAATAATAATAATAATAATAATAATAATAATAATAATAATTAATAATAATAATTAATGAAATAAAAAACATAACTATAAAAAAATAAATAAATAAAATAAATACAAATAAGACAAAATCAATAATGAGAAACTCAATATGTATGTTATGTGGTCAAAGAAAGAGAAACAATTGAGACCTTGCAATTGTGTGTAAATGTGGTAGAAAGTTAGAGCGTTACTTTTTGAATGACCCTCGTATTCTTTGTCGTCTACATCAAAAAGTCTCGTTCCTTATTTAATGACCCTCATATTTCTTTATTTCTAAGCCACATTAGAGAATTGTAATGATTTCTCCACAACTTTTATAGCATTACTGTGACTTTTAGTGCCAGAATTAAGGTTGGGGAGGTCCAGAAATGGTTGTGCAATACATCCCCATTTTCCTCATAAGATAAGGAACACTTTATGCAATTTTGAGTTATGTGATGTTTTTGCAGAACATAACCCTTGCATAAAGTGAGGGTTAGGTGTGTGCCTAAAAACATGACACTGCACACCTACCCTTTAGTATTATGATAAATACCAAAAATCAATAGCCTCCTGTACCTGTACTGTAATTTTCATTTGAGAAATCATCTAAGCAAGATTTTCCGAGCCAATGGAACTGCATCAAGGTAAAATGTCAAATAAGTATGTAATCAGAAGGCCATGTACAGTTGCCAGCAAAAGTCCTCCCACAACTTGTTACACAGGGCTGTGGGAGAACCTTTGCATGCAACTGTACCTACACCACAAGATTATCACAAATGCCTAAAATGAATGCATGTTGTGTAAATTTTGAGAAATCAGTTGGACAATATTTTCAGAGTGGAGCTCTAAAAGGCAACAGGCCACAAAATACAACATTGCCCACCTACCACTTGAAATGTGTCTCTATTTGTATTTTATTCCCACCACCGAACAAATGCCACAGTGGTAGAACAGCAGTAGCATGCATACCTCTCACTACTGCATCTCAGGTTCAATCCTTGGGTCAGCTGTGAAACACGGGATATCCAGTGTGACCCTACCAAATGTTGCATATTTTTTCTGGGTACTCTGGTTTCCTTCTGCATTAAAACTGGAAAATGAAGGAAAACCCATCAGGGATAATGGGGGATTAAAAGAACCACTGGCCTCCTTTCCCCATTGAAGAGTTGATTAAAACACACACACACACACATGAAAGGAAGGGTAAGAGAGTATAACTTTGCATAACACTTTATTTACAAAAAGGTTATGATCATATGTATGAACATTGCTCACTCACAGTTCCAGGTAAGCTGCACAGGTGGGAAACTTTGCATAATTACAGAGGAGATATTGGTCAACTCTGGAATTATCAATGATCCAAATCTTGACAAACTATGTTTTGTTGTCTAGTTAACCTAAAGCACTGCTACCATGATGTCCAAAATTGAGAGAAAAAATCTATAGGATTCAGTAGATACTTTCTTTACAGGAAGTCAGTGAAAAAAAAAGAATTAAACTACTTAAAATTAAAAAAATATCCATAGTTATTTAACTGATAAAAATTTGCTCACTCACAATTTCACATACAAACTACACAACTTTGGATGTTCACATGATAATGATCAATATAAAATCCTTACAAAACATATTTAAGAAGTCTTAACACTACATCATTATAACTATATTTCATGAAATATTTACATCTTCATATGTACGAATTTGGACAGTTAGAATATAAACTATAGATTGTATATCCACAATATGGGAACACATTTTGTAGCTTGCATTTACATTCACTGAACAATAAAAAGTGCTTGACAATGCTTTAGAGCTACAGGCTAAAGCTTTGCAAACTTTTAATGTTTAAAAATAGATGGTATTAACAATTATGCCTGTTCAATCATTACCATTTATAAATGCATCTACACTCCATCTGCTGAAATGTTAGCACACACATTTTCCAAGCAGCATCACATGGTAACTGATTTAAGGCCAATATATTTAAAAGAAATAAGAACGTTTGCAATAACAATAAGGTAAATGCTTGGTCATAATGGTTAAAGCTATAGTTAAACTTCATTTTGAATCACATGGCAATTTAAATAATGATAACAGTAATAATAAATACTTCATACTCTTGACCATCAGATTAGACTGGGTAATTTCATCATCAATGCAATTCTATCAGCAAAATACTGACAGTCAGGAACCATATCATTGAGGTTCATTATTATGATGCTCTTAAAGAAATATGCTTTGATATGTATTTTCCCTCAAGTTTAATTCTCTAGTCAAGTCTCAACTATATCTACCATGACTGCACACATACCCCTGCTGGAAGTTGACCCATATATCTCCAAAGCTTTGTTACGTCTTGCTAGTTCTGAAACAACCAATCACATGATTCACTCAACATTTACAAAGTATATAAAAATCTGTGGCTCTAGTCAAGTATATCTCTGAATTCAACATCTGCTATTGGCATTTTCATCTGGAGAGGTTGGTGTCTGAGGTAGAGGAGTGCAAACTTCATGATCTGAGTTGTCTGTAGATATGGCAATGCCACCATCATGTGGCTGGTCATCTGTCAAGTTTTCAACAGTGTCTACATTACAATCAATGGATTCATGCTCTTTAACATTCCCTCTGCTATCATCCACTTTTTCTCCACTTATGAACTGGTCCATATTTATTGTTCCACTTTCCTCTTCTTCCTTAATCTCTATACTAGGTCCAGTTGTGATACTGGTGATCATCTCTTTTGAATTCAAATTAGCATTCTCAGCATCAGTCAGAGAGAGTGTCATTAAGGTCTCCCGGCATGTCTCCACCTGTGAGGAAAATATACTGATTAATTGTTTATCATTTAAGTTATAATAAACTCATTTCATTAGTGCAAACAAAGTTAAGAGTCTGATATATCAGGTAAAAGCTGATTTAAGAAGACAGTATTATCTTTATTAATAAATCATGATTACCATACTTCACCTAAAATAAGACATGAGAAATTGTAGTCTTGAAAATCATTTCAGGTATTTAATTTTCTTTTCTCCAGTACATCAAAAGGAAGGATTGAGTTTCAGAGGGTAATACTTCAAGTCTAAATTAGATGTTAAAAATGTTGTAAGCACTCGATATATGGTAATGGGCTTATGCAAAACCAAGATAGAGGAAAAAGATCTACTGTACCAATGGACTACCTTAAACAAGCCATCTTATACCCCTTGACTATACACAATTATATCTACACTGAAACTATAATTTTAAGAATCAGATCAAATGTACTGTACATAGAAAATTCAAATTTACACAACTATAGCGGAAGCGGCGTTACAGTTTTATTGTTACTCTAAATTATATTTTAAATTTTTTTTTACTGGTGTCTGAAATATCTATAAGTATATAACACATTGACATGCAGCAAATAACTTATGATAATATAATAATATACATATTTTATATTATCATAAACAAAAAACCTCAGCTGGTGATAAATAGATCACAGTATTCCAACTGCACTCCAACGATCATATGTGCAGAACATGTTTTGAAATTAAAACACTAAGAAATGACACTACACAACAAACTTATGATATTTTGTGTTTTATTTAAACATGTTTTTCATGTTTTTGGTGTGAATTATGAAGAAGACACCAGCTGAATAAAAGAAGACATAATGGATAAAAGTGCATGAAAGAATTTGAGCACTAGAAGAACTAGAGAGCAGAGAACCTTGCAATTGCCCTGCAGCAAAACACATGCAGTATTTAATGTGTACAAAAAAGTGACATTTTATCTTTGTACATTTGAGACATAGTAAATGATAAAAAATTTAATGTCATTATAAAAATCCTTAAATTTTGTCTGCATCAAATGTTGACACAAATAAAACTACAGTATAATATCTATGAATTTTAAAATTCACTAAACATTATAAATGAACACTTGATGAGTAATGTGCATGCAATGCTATGCACACATATATGTGTATAGTAAATGTAATTCACACAGATTTACCCCATTCAGTCCTACACTGTGAATCAATCATAATTATCAGATTTCTTGGTAATGTATTATTTCCAATCATTATATTTATGGTCATTATAATTCATACATAATTGTAACAATAACGATTGCGTCTATTCTTTATTTTTAGTTATGGATTTCAAGTTATTTCTAGGCATTTACTAACATTATAAAAATCACGGTATAAGATAATTGTATAATATAATATTCATTTCACATCACAAAAATATGGCATCTTCTCAATTATTTAGTTTAACATACGGCTGTAATAATTTGTTATGGCTTTGTTATGCCTAGCCACAAGTATAATAATTAATGAACAAGAAACTGCCATTTACATATGTGGGCAGGAAAAGGACAAAAGAATTTAAGAGGAAGAAGGGAAGGAGGATTAAGAGGTTACTATGGTTAAGTAAAGTGGGCAGGAGTGAGGTTGCAGGTGATGTTATATTAGGATCGGGTGCAAGCTTGGTGAAGGTGGGGATTAGATCACTTATTACGTTGAAACTCATATTTACTGTTGTCACTTCAGTATCTTCATTATATTCTTCAACTATTAAGATATTTAATAATATTCAATTTCCACAGGGCTGGGAATAAAATTTATTTCATCTTTTATAAGAATGATATACTTTATTGAAAAAGTGGGGGAAGTGCATAGGACATGTTTCAATGTACTGTACAATATAGTAACGACAGAAGTTTGTTTTGTCTGTAACTTCAAATTCAATATAAAATGCAGATTGTAAATGGCACTGATCTGTTTATTAAAAGAATATTTGTAAATTCTGATTCTGAAGTGACAAAAAAAAAATTATCACATTGCTAGTGGCCTTGATATTAAAATGCGCAGCTTCCCAATAAGCATGCCCTTTACTATCCATGACTTCGGGACAGTGCCACAGATGTGTCATGTTGCTGAAGGTGCTGGTGATGGCAGAGTAGTTGGCGAGGCGAGGCTGAGTCTCCAGCAGCCTGTGAGTTTTGAAAGTGTAGTGGAGTACACAGGTACTAAATACAGCATCACATCTCTAACTCTTACAGAATCACCAAGACTGGCCATCTGATAGTACTTCCATGAAGCTCAATTTCCAAGCAGTGCAATGAAGAAAACGAGGCTCACTAGTACTGAATTTATGGAACCTAGGTCCTGTTAGAGCCATAGTTGGAGGGTGCCGACAAGCAGCTACTGAGGGTGATGGGGTGTCCAACCATCATCACAGTCTACTCTGCAGGTGAGAGAGAAACACCTGCTTCTACTCTTGCTAACAGTGGAGGAAACCACCTTGGGCAATGGCGGGCACAGGCTCAAGAAAACATTTAAAAAGAGTGTTGGCAGCACTTCGCCAAGTAACAGTCATTCCCAAGCACGTAATTTTCAGCTCTAAAGGTTAGGGGAGTATTTTTCCTGATATTCACTGCTCAGTCACATACTGAAAACCAACTCTGAACAAGAATATATGTAAAAATTTTACATGTACATGTTGCCAATGAATCCCTGTTCTGTACTGTACTTGTAAATATATTTTTCTTTAATGTACCGAATCATGTTACTCAATGAAAGTGAATTTAGTTATAAGAATTAATAAAAAAAAAAAGTAGATGTATTGCTGATATTTGTTCTGAAAACAACAACAACAACAACAACAATGCTGATATATAAATCTGCAATTTTGTCAATTTTACCTTATTCACATCAAAATATGAAATATAGTGACATAAACAACTTGTTAATATTTGGTCTTGTCATGAGTTCTCACAGCCCAAACACTAGTAAGACTAGATTTTATGTATGAACATTAACACTTAAATCAGCACTGAAGAACATCCTGACCAAAACCAAAAGTAATTCTTCTCCCCTAACCCCTAATTGAGCTAGATTATCATCAGTCTGTAGTGGTCACCTCACGCTCAATGATGCGTTCAATAGTCTCCGTGGTCTGCATGGTCACATTTCCCGTATCAGGGTCCAAAACAGGTGTGGTTGTGCGCTTCACTTTCTCAGACAGGACACGGTCCCGCTCGGCAACAATCTTCTCACTTGGCTCGGTGACAATAATCAATTTGGACCACTTGCGGTTCTGATTCTGGCCCAAGGTAATACAGCTGAACAAAATACTGCACAATCTTTCAACGTAATGTCACTCATTAGGAATCTAAGATACTAAGGCATTTTTTAAATCCATTAAAACACATAAATATATATCCTGTATTAACTTGAGAAGAACTTGACATGATTTGAATTTAAGAGGACTATGTCAACAATGTAAAATGTACAATATGCAGTATTAAAATACAAAAATATACTCATCAAGTAGCAAACTTTCTGTAATCTACAGATGTACCAGTATCATTAAAAATGTGAAGGTTTGCACTAACATACTGGACTATGACTACATTATCTTAAAGAACACAGTGCTCCCAAGCTTACAGATGCAATATTTTTCTGTACACAAACACAACTATATTTACTGTACTAGTAACACAACTACTGATGATACTATTACTACTAACCCTACTACTGATGATACTATTACTACTAACCCTACTACTGATGATACTATTACTATTAATTCTGGTGAAAATATTACTACCTGTACTAACACTGATGATACAATTACTATTAATACTGATGAAAATATTACTATTAACACTGATGATACTACTGTATTACTACAAACACTGATGATACTATTACTACTAACACTGATGACACTATTAATACTAATACATATGCCACCATTACTAATAATACTGATGACACTCTTGCTACTATTACTGATGACGCTATTACTACTAATACATATGCCACCATTACTAATAATACTGATGACACTATTACTACTAATACTAATGACACTATTACTACTATTACTACCAATACTGATGACACTCTTGCTACTATTACTGATGACGCTATTACTACTATTACTGATGAAACTATTACTATACTAACTTTACACTAGCTTGGCCCAGAAGCCACGCCCTCATTTCTATAAGCAAGCTGATTGGTTCATATCAAATGTTCGTTTCACTGTCTATTTATTTATACTGATGTGTTCACTATTTATTATCCGACTTGTTCTTCTCTATAATAATGTAAAAATTACCAAAATACAAATGCAAATGATTGTAAGGCACTAGCACATCAAAGAGGATGTTAAAAATTAAAAAATATGTATAACGAACGGTCGAAGTCAGAGACAAAAGTTGTGTTCGGATGAGGCCTATCTATTATTTCTTTGTTTTGTAGCAAACAAAGTAAACAAACAAATAACACCAAACTTATAGCACAATAGACAATTACCTATAGTTTGTAAAGGCTAGATATATCGCAAATCATTGTTTAACTTAAAAAATTGATAAACATACGCTCAGGGGAGCAGCCACAGGGACAGAGCGAACTGCAGAGTTGACAACAACCTTTTACACCAAAGCTCGGCAACTCAGGAGCCAAAATTTTAGCATGGATTCTTGAAAGTATAAATATACTGTGTGTATATATATACAGTGGGGTATGCTATAACGAACGGATCCTACTACGAATATTCCTATAACGAACGGTTTTACCTATAAAATTGAGAATGCTATAACGAACGAAACTCCTACAACGAACATAATTTAATTTTTTTTTTTCTAATTTATTGTTTTATTATTACAAATATTAATGATGTTCTTTATTTCAGGGGTTTAGATGCATATTTATGCACATTTTTACAATTTTATATTATATTTTTCAGTGTTAAGTGGTTGTATTTGGGGGCCTGGAACGGATTAATCCTATAACAAACGAATGCTATAATGAACAAGGTTCTAGAACCAATTAGATTCGTTATAGCATACCCCAATATATATATATATATATATATATATATATATATATATATATATATATATATATATATATATATATATATATATATATATATATATATATATATATATATATATATATATATATATATATATATATATATATACACACACACACACACACACACACACACAGTGGTCCCTCGGTTAACGAGCGCCTCAGTTAACGAGTTACCTCCCATAAGATTCTTAACTTCGGTTAACGAGCAACCCCTCGGTTAATGAGTTTCTTACCAGCCAACCTCAACAAGTTTTGGCTTGCACTTGGCGGTCAACCAGCTTTAGTATTAGTCCGCCAATACATTAATCGGTTCTAGGGCTTAAATTCCTTACTATTTTAGTAAATATCAAGAAGTTTATACTATTCAATAATTTTAAAAGTTTAATATTAAATTTTTTAGTAATTTTAACAATTATTGAACATAATTGAAGGTAAAGTGACTAGTTTAATGCGAGGCATCCAGCCTCCTAACACAGCAAACTAAGCGTTAGTCTCTCTCTGTTTTCACTGGAGGTAACATCTTGCTTGAGACTTTCTTCAACTAAACGTTTTTTTCTGTGTTTCCAAGGTAATTATTGATCATTTGGAAATTTATTTTACATAATGACAATATATAGCGCAGTGCAGTGTTATTTTAAAGAAAATATTCTTTATTTACAACAAGTTTAGCTTTAAAAAACACGTGTTGACATTGTTTGAATCCAGCATGGGGCCCAAGAGATCAAGAAAAGCGATTTCAATCCAAACCAAGCAGGAAATCATAAAAAAACATGAACAAGGCATTAGAACAAATGCGCTATGCAAAGAATATGGCATGTCGACATCAACTGTGTCGACAATTCTTGCACAGAAAGACAGATTTAAAGAAGTGAAAGTGAGAGACAAATCTACAAGAGTGTTTTAAAGTAGATCCCTAATTGCAGACACTGAGAGGTTACTTATCATCTAGATTAGGGAAAAACAGATGAAAGGCGATTCAGTTTCTACTGAATTCATTTGTGAAAGAGCCAGGGAGATTTACGAACATTTAAAGACTGATCAACCTGGTTCTTCAGGCACAGAATTTGAAGATTTTCGGGCCAGCAAAGGCTGGTTCGAAAAATTCAAGAAAAGAAGTGATATTTTCAGTGTTGTTAGGCATGGTGAAGCTGCTAGTGCTGATAAGGAAGGGGCAGCAAAGTTTTTAGTTGAATTTAAAGAATTGATGGAAGAAGAAAATTATCTTCCACAGCAAGTGTTCAATGTGGACGAAACTGGGCTGTTCTGGAAAAAGATGCCCAAAAGAACATTCATCACCAGAGATGAAGCCTCTTTACCTGGGCATAAACCCATGAAAGACCATCTCACTCTATTGCTTGGTGCCAATGCTTCAGGGGATTTCCAACTGAAACCTATGCTTGTCTACCACTCTGAAAACCTCAGGGTGTTCAAGCAACAGAAAGTGGTAAGAACAAAGCTTGGAGTTTATTGTAAGTCCAACCGTAAGGCATGGGTGACAAGACAGCTCTTCAATGAATGGGCTGTTGATGTGTTTTGCCCTTCTGCCAAGAGCTACCTAACCACCAATAAACTCCCTTTAAAGGCTCTTCTCCTCATGGATAATGCTCCTGGTCATGACCCTGACCTTGCCAGAAATTTGGAGTATCAATTTGACTTTGTGAAAGTGTTGTTTTTGCCTCCAAACACTACATCAATCATACAGCCAATGGACCAGAATGTGATCAGCAACTTCAAGAAGTTGTACATGAAGAAAATGTTTAGGAGGTGTCATCAGGCAACTTCCAATGATCCTGAACTAACACTGAAACAGTTCTGGAAGACACAATTCAACATCCTGGAGGCTGTAAAATTGATTGTGTCATCATGGCAAGAAGTCTCCACTAGATCCCTCAATTCTTCATGGAAAGCACTGTGGTCATCAGTAGTCCATGATTTTGAGGGATTTGAGGAAGAAACAGAGTTGGACCAGGAGATTGTGTCCATTGGTCAGTCATTGGGCCTTGAAGTGGAGGAGGAGGATGTGGAAGAGCTTGTGATGTCTCATGAGGAGGAACTTACTCCTGATGACTTGAAGCAACTGGATGAGATGTTACAGGTAGAGGCTAACAGTGGTGAGGAGTAAATTGAAAGTGATGACCATATATCAGCTAAACAGTTGAAATATGTGATTTACTACTGGGAGAAGTTCAGGGAACTGGCTTCAAAGCACCCAGAAGTGGAAAAAACTGAACTAGCTTTGTGTCAAGTTGAGGACTCAGTGGTTTCCTTCTTTAAACATAAGTTAATGGTGAGGAGGAGAGATGCCCCACAGACCACAATTGACACTTTCTTCGGTAAAAGGCAGAGGGAACAAGATGCCATCCCTCAGCCTTCCACTTCAAGAAGGAGAGAGGATGATGCTAGCCCTCAGCCTTCCACTTCAAGAAGGAGAGAGGATGTTCATGGTGGAGAAAATGTCAGTCCAGAGGTTCCTGACATTTTCATGGAAGGTGACTCACCTTCCATGAAGCAGTAAAATGCTTCTCCTCCACTTCCTTCTCTTCTCCCTTCTCCTCCTCCACCTCCCACTTCAAATTCACATCATCATCATCATCCAGGAGCCTTCTACATACACACCTCAAGGTAAGTGTCCATTTCTAAAAATTTTGTTGAATTTAGGCAATTTTCGGTGAGCTGGAACCAATTACCCAAAAACCCATTGAAACAATGGTTTCGGTTAACGAGCAACCTGCTGGAACGGATTGTAGATCAACAATAAAAACATGGATAAGAAAAATATATACACATACAGTGGTTCCTCAGTTAACGAACAGTTCAATTAACGAAATTTTGGTTAACGAATTACCTCCCATGAGGATCTTCAATTCGGTTAACGAACAAAACTTCGATTAACAAAATCCTTACGAACAACACGTTTTGTCGTGAGCATCAACTGAATAGCTGATGGGCTAGTCTGCCAATTCAGTAATCTGTTCTATGTTTACATTCGTTTCCAGTTGAGTAAATATCAAGAAAGTTGTGCTCTTTAATATTTTTGCATTTTTTATATTAAAATTATTAGTAATTTTAAAATTTAGTTAACATATTGATTATATATGCAGTACAGGAAACTATTTTTTGTGCGCCCATCAGCCGCTTGACTCAGCCACCAGGCGTCAGTTTGGCTTTGTTGACAGTCGAGTAAACATCGATTTTGTTGGTGTCTTGAATATT